AACTCGATTGGGTGCCTCCTGCATGTGCCCCCACCAGGACTGAGGATGGAACCTGTGACCCAGGTACGTGCCCTGAACTGGAGATAGAACCTGCGACACTGTGGTGTGCGGGCCGGCGCTCTAACCACTGTGCACACCGGCCAGGGCAGAACTAACAGACCTCATGGCTCTGAGGAGTGTTCTCCGTTTGACTCTCTCTCTCTCTCTCTCTCTCTCTCTCTCTCCCCCTGTCATTTCCTGTATCTGTCTCCATCTCTAAAACCTTTTAAGAAGAGAAATGTGCTTTTCTGTGACTCAGTGAAAGGCCTGGCGTTGGGATGCTTGGTCGCCCCGGTTCTCAGCGCGATGTGCTATGACTCCGAGGCCAGCGGACGGACACATGGAGTCTGGCTCCAGCTCTGGTGCAGACTGGGCGCCCGGTAGAGGCAGGGTGCCCGCAGGAGCCCCGGCACCCCCAGGACTGACAGGCGGCTTTCTGCTTCCTCTCAGAGACCCAGCCTCACCCACGTGGTGGAGTGGATCGACTTCGAGACGCTGGCCCTGCTGTTCGGCATGGTAATCCGGGCCCCAGCGTGCCCCCCGGGCCGGGCTGTCCCCGCTGCTGCCGCCGCCACTGCTGGTCCTTCTTGTAGCAAAGACACACGATCAGCCTCCAGGGCCTCCGCGGCAGGAGCAGATCAGTGGCAGCACCTATGTGCTCCCGTGGGAGATAAAGGGCGTCGGGAGCAAACCCGTGTCACAGACCAAGTATAAGTTCTAAGACTGTGCATCACGCCTTCAGATGTGCTCAGGAATCAGGCCAGAGGTTATTCTATGGTCAGAGGTCAGGGTTCAGCTCAGACCGCTGGGGCCAAGGGCCAGGCGTCAGGTTGCCTTTTGGGGTCATCAAGGGTTCGTATTCCCACCAGCTCAGCGTCATCAATAGGAAGAAACGCATTGCGTAGCGACCCGGGCTCACACACAGCCCAGAGGGTGAGCGTGCCCTGCGCCTGCTCTCACCTGCACGCCTTGGGCCCGTGGGTGACGGAAGCTCTTTATCTGAGGAAACGGAATGTGGCCCCGTCAGCACCGAGCCGGTGGCGTTGCTCGGGCTGCATCCGGGCCCCTTTGCCTCCGGCTTCTCGTTTGTGGGAGTGTCACCTCCCGTCTCTGCCCCCAGGTCCCTGGAGCAGTAACAGCAGCTGTGTTTGCTGTGAAGGTTCGGGGGGTGGTGGGGGGTGACCATGTACTTGGGGCACATGCCCTGGACCAAACGCAGGTGCCAGCCTCCAGCAAGGACTCCAGGCAGGGCCCGCTCAGCACAGCCCAGCGCGGTGACAGGCAGCTGCCGAGCGCGGACGTGCCCAGCCCCTCTGACGCCTCGCCCCCCTTCTCTTCTCCCCGCAGATGATCTTAGTAGCCATATTTTCAGAAACTGGATTCTTTGATTACTGTGCTGTCAAGGTAAGTGCGATGTAGCAAGGAATAGTTAGGTATGTATTTGTTGATTTTACATATTTCCTACAGTTACATACTTAATAAATAACGCTATTATTTTATTTACTTATTTTAGATTTTTGTTGATTTCAGAGAGGAAGGGACAGGGAGAGGGATGTTTGCCGGCTTTGAGCACCGTTTTCAGTTTTTAATCCTCACCTGAGGATATGCTTATTGATTTTATTTTATTTTTTAAATATATTTTTATTGATTTCAAGCCCTGACTGATGTGGCTCAGTTGGGATTTCAAAGAGGAAGGGAGACAGAGAGAGAGAGAGAGAGAAACTGCCTCCTGCACGTCCCCCACTGAGGGTCAAGCCCACAACCCAGGCGTGTACCCCGACGGGGAATCCAACTGGCAGCCTTTCGGTGCCCGGGCGATGCTCCGCCCCCGGCCACACCGGCCTGGCTGTGGGTCCAGCTCCTGGCCCACCGAGGGTTGTGCACTCAGAGCCCTGGTGCTCCGAGCCCCTCGGGGAAAGTTGTGCCCGTGCTTCCGCCCGCTGACTCTGGCTCGTTCTGTCTGGTGTGTCCCAGGCCTACCGGCTGTCCCGGGGGAGGGTGTGGGCCATGATCATCATGCTGTGCCTCTTCGCCGCCGTCCTCTCCGCCTTCCTGGACAACGTCACCACCTCGCTCCTCTTCACGCCCGTGACCATCAGGTGGGTGTGCGGAGTGTCCCACGCTGGCA